CTGACCTGTCCCCTCCACCGACCCCAGCATGGTGAGGACACCTTCAACCGGGCCAAGCTGCTCAATGTGGGCTTCCTAGAGGCTCTGAAGGAAGATGCCACCTATGACTGCTTCATCTTCAGTGACGTGGACCTGGTCCCCATGGATGACCGCAACCTGTACCGCTGCGGTGACCAGCCCCGCCACTTCGCCATTGCCATGGACAAATTTGGCTTCCGGTGAGAGTTCCCCTTTCAGCTGGACCCGGAACTCCCCACACCCATTGTGCCCACTTTCCCCACCACGCCCAGGCCCTCACTCCCAGCCCCAGTGTCCCCCTTGCTCCTGTCCCTGGGCACACTCTCCTCCACCCCATCCCCACCCTCCATCTGGAATCCCCTCGGCCCCTCACTGACGCCTGCCATCCCACACAACAGGCTGCCCTATGCTGGCTACTTTGGAGGTGTGTCAGGTCTGAGCAAAGCCCAGTTTCTGAGGATCAATGGCTTCCCCAACGAGTACTGGGGCTGGGGTGGTGAGGATGACGACATCTTCAACCGGTGAGTAGGGGCGGGTTGGTGAATAGCCTGGGTACGTGAGAGGGCGTGGTGCAGACTGGGTGGGGCTCCTTGCCCTTCCTGGTGCCTGCTCCAGTCCATCTGTCCCTGTTCGCAGGATCTCCCTGACTGGGATGAAGATCTCACGCCCAGACATCCGCATAGGCCGCTACCGCATGATCAAGCACGACCGGGACAAGCATAACGAGCCCAACCCTCAGAGGTGACCCCCAGCGCTCCTGACCCCATGGGCCCCTAACCCCAGACTCCTTGGGATGACCCCCAGTGCTGTGGATCCCCAGAGGTGATCCCAAGGCCCCTAACCCTTGACACTTAGAGATGAATCTCCGCATCTCTGATCTCTGTTCCCCACCCCCCAGTTCAGCCTCAGCCCGGACAGCTCTCGCCCCTGGCCTGGTTTCCTAATGCAGACGGCAATGTAAAGGCAGGGCTCAAATCGTCACTGAGCAGATTGCATTCCCATCAGTGTCCTTGCAGATCTCACTTGTGCCGGAGCAGATAGGATGAGAGCTTGCTGGGCTCAGCTCCTGGGGTGCGGCCCAACAAAAGTGGCCTGAGCACTGGGCGTTGGGGTGGGGGTTGGAAAGAGAGTACTGACCCCTCTGAGATTGGAGTAGGCGGCTCTGTCTCTGAGGATATAGCAACATTTGGTGTCTGGTGCTGGCTGGGAGAAGTGCCTGAGAGCATGCGAAATGGAGATGAGGGCTTCCTGACACTGTTCAGGGACTGTCTGGTGCCAGACCTTGCGGGGGAGAAGGGCCCAGCGCTGAGTTTCCCACATGAAGCTCATTCTAGGGAGGCAGGCAGGCAGTTGCGGCACAAGGGGATCAGGGCAAGGTGCTGTCCTGCAGAGTGATGGTGGGAGGCTTCCTGGAGGATGAGATAGTAAACTGGAGTTTGACAGGAGCTATTCATTCAGTAAATATTTGTCACACATCTGCCTTGGGCACAGTGCTGTATTCACCAGGCTAATGGAGGAGGCCAGTTTGGATAAAAGGAAATAGCATGTGTAGGGGTCTGGAATGTGAACGTGCATGGTATATGCTGAGAGTCCGAAACTCATGGGTGTTAAAGCTTCTGAGGGCTGAGACTGATGATAGAGAGGGTCGTAGCTGGGTGTTCGGGGTCTCAAATCCCAGATTGGCAGTTTCACTTTTGTCCTGGGGCTTTGGGGAGTCATGGAAGGGCTTTACACAGAGAAGGAGCAAGATCAGATTTGGGCTTGGAAGAATCACCTTTGGAGCTTGAAGAAGGTGAAGGGCTGGCAGAGCTGTTGGGTGGAGCCAGAGGGAAGCTGACCAGGCCTGAGGGAATCGGGGGGCCCCAGGGGTATACTGGGCATGAGGCTGCTGTGCCCTAGCTGGAGCTCAGGGTATAAGAGTGGGGGAGTGCCACAGTAATGTAGGGGTGACGTTTGGCAGAAGCATGAAGCACCAGGTGCCCAGGGAGCTGATAAAAAAGCTGTTCAGATAAACATCATGGTGGGCAAGGAAGAGACAACAGACAGAGAACAGGGCTTCAGAGCATCCTATAGAGTGCTCAGTGTTGGGATGGCTGCAGAGAGGGATCCGAGGGATCTGAGCTGAGCTCAGAAGGACTGGCAGGACCCAACCAGTAGGGATGAGGATGGGAGTGGAGCGCTGCTGGAAGCACGTGCCAGGAGCCTTGTTCCCGGTTCAGGAATAGCCGTCATCAGTTAGTGATGTGCGCCTTGGGTGGGGAAGTGGCAAGACAGTAAGACATTCTGGTGAAAGGCACTCTGGAGGATGATTCCATCGACCTTGCTGCTTTTGCCTCAAATCTAGTTCTGAATTCTTCTTCCCCTCACCCTACATTTCCCAATCATCAGCAAGTCATATCAAAGCCACCTACAAACACATCTGAGCCCATCCACTTTTCCCTTTACTACCTCTTTGCCTGGACTACAGTGATTTCTCACTGGTTTCCCTGCTTCCCGCTTGCCCTTCTGTAGTTCGTGTCCCCCAAACGGATAAAAATGCCTCAGTGTCTTCTCACTCACAGAATAAATAAAACTACTTCCTCTGACAGAGACCTGCCCATGCATGCTGTAACCTCTGAGCTAATCTTACTGTGTTTCTTCCCTTGGCCCGTTAGGATCTAGCTACTCAGCTGTGCAAATTCCCATTCCCAGTTTAGGGTCAGCAGGTGCTGCTCCCTCTGCCTGGAATGCTGTCCCCTCTGCTGTCAGTTTGATGTCACATCCTCACCCCTTCTAAGTCAATCTTCTTGGTCTCCCTCTCCCATGTCCCTTAGCACTCTGATGTGTTTCTTGTCTGTTACCTGTCTCCCCTGGTGGCATAGACTTGCCACGAAAGGAAGGTCCTTGCTGTCCTGTTTATGGTTGTGTCTGGTACTTCTAGTAGAGCCTGGCACATGAGGACTGCTCAATAAATAAATAGTGGAGTGACTAAAGGATGAGGAACAGAGAAAACGGCACAGAGGTGATGGGTTTGGGGAGTAAAGATGACACATGTGATACAGGACACATTGCATTTGAGGTGTCTACAGGATGCCCCATGTCTGGGTCTAAAGCTTAGAAGGAAGGTCTGAGATGAAAGACTTGTGAGGATGTCACAATTCTGGACTCAAGGGGGTGAGATCCCCGTTTTGAGGGCAGATACAAGAGCAAAAAAGTTCCAGGCAGGTGGAGGGTGGATTGGTGGCAAGGAGAACCGAGTCACCCCTGGAAGAAGCCAGGATGACTTGACCCTTAGCCCCAGAAATATTGGGCTTGGCGGCTAGCCTTGAACTGGATTCAATTCCATCCTATCTAGGTTTACCAAGATTCAAAATACGAAGCTGACCATGAAGCGGGACGGCATCGGGTCAGTGCGGTATCAGGTCTTAGAGGTATCTCGTCAACCGCTCTTCACCAACATCACAGTGGACATTGGACGGCCCCCATCATGGCCCCCTCGGGGCTGACACTAAAGGACAAAGGCTCCTGTGCCAAGGATTGCCGGCCAGAGGACTGACCTACAGCCTGGCTGGCAGCTGCTCTGTTGGGGGATCCCCCAGGACTGAGACTGTGGGCTCTGTTTCTGAGGGTCTTCAGTAGGCCCCCCAGCTGCACCTGGAAGTTTCAGAACCTACTTTGGGGGGCTTCCATCCTGAGCAGGCCCCTCAAGTGTGGCCCTCTGGGGTCATCCCTCTTTGCCACTCCCTCCCCAGCCCAGCCCCCCTCACTGTCAGGATCGGGCCAGCCCCTGCACTGCCTCACCGAGTGGCCTGGGCTAGGTCACTCCACCTCTCTGTGCCTCAGTTTCCCCTCCCTTGAGTCCCCTAGGGCCTGGAAGAATGGGAGGTGTGACTAGGGTGTAGTGCCACTTCCAGGGGGGACTTCTCAGACCTGGGGATCCCCCCTGCTCCCAGGGGAGGGGAAACCTTTTTCATTCAACATTGTAGGGGGCAAACTCTGGTGGTCCGCTCCTGAGGAGCAGCCCCAGGAGGGGACCAGAGGGGGTGCTGTGCTACTGCCTGGGATTTGGGGGTTGGGCTTTGCATGGGTGGCAGGTGGGGCTTGGATCAGTCAGTCTGGTTCCCACCTCTCTGTCTCAGAGAGAAGGCAGTAGCCCCAGGGCCGGCTCGTGTTTGTATATTGCACAGAAACTTGTGTGGGTGCTTTAGTAAAAAACGTGAATGGAGCAGTCCCTTTGTCTGTTTGGGGATGAGAATCCGGGTCCCTGGATCTAGACCCTGGGTGTGTTGTGGGAGGGCGCCTGGTCCAACCTATGGGTCTGGCCGGGTCTACCCCGGGCTGTGCTGGCTCCCCAGGTTCCTCGAAGCCCAGTGTTCACTAGACTTCTGCCAGCTCTAAGGGGAAACGTTTCTCTGCGCTGCCTCTGAGCCAGAAGAGGCAACAAAGTAACAAACCCAGTGGGCTCAAATTTCTCTGTTCTTCCACCTGTCCCGAAGCCGAAAGTAGCCAGGGACGAGCCCAAGGTACTTAGGGTCAGGACCCTTCGGATAGTTCGGACTCCAAAACCAACCATCAGCTGTGGGCCGGACTCCCAGCGAGCGGGTGGGTGCTGCTTCCCAGACTAGGAAAAGGCGGGGGCGGGGCCTGGGGTAGCGGCCCAGTTTCCTGGGTGACGGCCACACGGAAGAGGCGGGACTAGGGCCCTGGTCACTGTCCGGCTCCTGGGGGCCGTGACTAGGACCCGCGATACTTGAGAGTCAGCCAGAGTAGGGTAGATGAGGGCGCCAGAGACGTGCGGCTCCGGACCGGGTAATTCAACTGTGGGTCCTGGCGGCAGAAGGAGGGTGGTGGCTGGAGGGGGCCGGCGAGCGTGGGGGCGTGGCCTGCGGGGCGTGGCCCGCGGGGCGTGGCCTGGAGGCCGGCGGTCCGTCCCGCAGGTCGGAGCGTAGGGCCGCGCGTCCGCGGGCGGCGCCGGCGCGCCATGTCTGGGGGTTCCCCGTCGCTCTGGGAACTGGTGGAGAAGCACGTTCCGCTCCCAGAGCAGCCCGAAGTGAAGAGGATTCTGGGGGAGACGACGGTGGACCTGAGCCTGGAGCTGCGGGCAGAGGTGGGGCGAGTGGGAAGGTGGGCTACGCCCAGGCGCGTCCCACGACTCAGGTGATTTCCCCACTTCCTCCGGGTTCCTAGCTCTGCCGGGTAACTCGAGGTCCTGTCCCATCTCACAGTCCGTCTGTCCCTCTTCTGTTTGACTCCCCGTTACCCCCTCAATCCTCCCAGCCGTTCTCACTTTCCTCCCCAGTCGCAAGGTGTCAGCTCTCCTTGCAGGTGGTGATGTTACGGTCACTGCTGCGGGAGGCTCGATCCTCCCAAGCCCCTGGCTCCCACTCCACCTCCGACCCCTTCTCCCTTCTGGCACCACCGCCCCTGCTAAGAGACCTCGTGCGCCAGGAACTGCGGCAGCTGCTCCAAGGTCTCCGCCAGAAAGCCATCTATGAGGGCAGGTGGGGAGCCTCAGACCGGGGGTTGGATCCTGTCCCCAGAACTCAGATGGGCCAGCCCTGCACCTGACAAGGGGCCAGAGTTGCCTTTCCTGTGGTTCCCTAGAAGGAGCCCCCGAGTTTCCTTCATGTTCACCTTCTTCAGGGACCAGACCCAAGCCTGGGCCCAGTATAGCCCCAGGGTCCTGCGCTTCGCCTTGGAGGAGCCCAGGTGTGATTTTCCAGAACAGGAGATATTCCAGATGAGAGCTAGTGAACCCAGGTAAAGTGGTGATGTGAGAGGAGGGATCTGTCCTTGCTTGGCAGAGAACCCCAGCTAACTGGTGGGTTCCTCCTGGCTCCATGCAGGAGCTCCTGGTCTGGGGCTGGACACTTCTGCAGCCACTTGTGGTAGGCATGGGCCCATGAGGGCTGCAGAAGGCCAGGGGACACCTGCCAAGTCTGGCGGCAGGCCAGGCTTCCTGGAGAAGATGACTGGTTTGATCTGGGTCTTGGAGTGCCAGGAGCAGATGAAAGAGAGAAGAGCTTTTCAGGAAGAGGGGGCACTATATGCAAACATGGATGGGAGGAAAAGAGTGTATGTCCAGTAATCACTTGTTCTTCAGGCTTACAAAACAGGAGTGAAGGCTGGGCTAGAGAGGGCTGCGGAATGAATGAGATAAATGAGCAGGGTCATGTTCACAAGAAGTGAGTGGCAGCAACTTCTTTTTAATTCTCACACAACCCTGTGAGGTGGGTGATATCCCCATTTTGTGTGAAGAAACTAAAGTTCGGAAAGAATCATCGATTTACCCAACAGTAACAGCCCATTTGCAAACCTACACTCCAGAACTCCTGTTTGCACTATATCATATTGCTTTTTGTGAGAAAAGACACAAAATTATCTAGAAGTGGCATTTGTGTCCTGAAGGCCTCTGGTGAAGCAACATGTAGTGATATTGACCTCATCTCCCAGCAGCAGTCACAGAAACCTCAGTGTCATCAAGGACCAACTGAACGTGTCCAACATTGACCAGGTTGCCCAGCACCTGCGGTGAGGCCCCTGAGTGTGCAGTGGGGATGGAAACAGGGAGGGGGCTGGATGGACCTTGCAGTACTGGGACTGTGAGAGGAGAGGCAGCACACCTGAGTGGAAGGGGAGCTGGGTGAGTACAGCTGAGGCAGAAAGGGCAGGCTGCTGCGGGGCTGGCGAGTCGTTGCCAGAAAAGTGGGAATGTCAGCAGGGGCCAAGGCCCGAGGATTTTTATCCTAAGTGAAGTGGGGGGAAACCACAGAAGTTTTAAGCGGGGAAAGGAAAGGGCTGTGATGTGGGAGAGGATGGAGGCAAGAGGGGTCGCAGGCCCGTGCAATGGTACAGAAGAAATAATGGTGCCTGTCAGGGTGGGCACTGCACGGTACTCGAGGAGAGGACACCTTCTGCCCAGGAAGAGACTTGGCAGGGGGTGGAAGGCTGTGCTGGGCAGCAGAGGGCAAGGTGGGCTGAGGAAGGAGGGCCTGGAGGTTGCGATTGTATGGAGAGTTCAGATGAGACCCGGTCCTGTGGCACTGGTTCTGGCTGCTGCACCCCCACGTGTCCCAGGGGCCTCCTGGAGGAAGAGTGTCGCACCTTGGAGAGGGAGATCCTCATCCTGCAGGTGAGCTGCAGCTCTGGGCCCCCATTACCTAACCTCCCCCCCCAAGCCTTTCTACTGACCGTAGACTCAGCACTTCTCACCTGATGTATGAGCCCATGTGCATGTGTCTGTGTGCGCACGTGCATGTAAAGGCTGTGTGAGTCCTGTATCCATTTCTCATGTGTGCACTTCTTGTGTGAATCCAGAAGCCTACAATTCTGGTTGAGCCTCTAAGGCCAAGGTCAGCACTTTTAGATGAACTTGGCTGGATTTGCTCCCTGGTCTTTTTTTGCCTTCTTCCCTTCCCTTCCCTAAGTCTGGGTCTAGGCAGGCCACCACCTCATCAAGCTGGGCTTTTCAGGGGGTGTTGCTCTCAGGTGGTTGAGATGAAGGTGCTGGCATGGGCTGGTTCTTGGCCCCTGCCAAGGAGAACTTGGCCTTTGCATCCTGCCCTGTCCTATCCCATCTCTACTGTGAGGCTGGGACACTGAGCCAGCTCTCCCTACAGCGCTGCTTGGAAGAGGAGTATAGAGGGGCACCCAAGCCCTCTGAAGCAACCCTAGAGCCCACCCTGGCAGGTGAGGAACCTGAGCAGGCCCCCGAGTACCCAGCCACCTCCCCACCCCTCTCCTAGGCATACCCTAGCAGAGCTGGCTACTGGGTCTCAGATATACCTCTCCCTCAGAGCTAAAGGAACAGAAGGCAGCCATGCAGCAGGAGCTACAGACAACTCTGAGGCCTTCCTGTGTGTCCCCGAGCCACAGGTAAACCAGAGCAGATGGATGGCTGCATAGGGGGTGCTAAGGGTTAGGCTGTGGCCCTCTAATGGCTATTTCTTGTTCAGGCAGCGGCCCTTGGGGTCCTCCAGCCAGGGCCTCAGACCCTTGCCTTGCCTCTGTGGAGCTGCTGGAGTTCAGGCCAGGCCTCTCCAGCGCTACCTACCTGCTCCTCCTCTGGAACGCAGGCCTCAAGGCCTAGCTGCCAACTGCCGTTGGGGCCGGAAGCTTCAGTGCAGCCCGGGGAAAAGGCCAGCTTCCGCCTCAGTGTCCAGTGCAGTGCCCCACGCCCCGACCTGATGGCTCATCATGAAGTAGGCTTTGGCTTCTGCTGGAACTTGCCCTACCTGCTACTGCCACCTCCCAGTTGCCATGGCCCCGCTTGCTTCAGTCCTCCTAGTCTTGGATAGGACCCAAAGGCTGTCTGTCTGCTGAGCCTTGTCCCACCCCCTTGCCAAATCCCTGGTATCTGGTCCTGACCATCACAGCCTTTGGCCTTTCTCCTCCCAGGCCTCCAGAAAAGCCGGATGAGTGTAGAACGTGCAGAGGTCTCATCCCAGCCCCAACTCTTGTCTCTGGAGGACCCAGACAAAGCACAGTAGCAGCTCGGAGACAGGAATAGAAATTTCATTAAAACCTATGGACTTTAAAATCCTAGTGGTGCACGGATGGGCAGGAGTGGGTGGCGCACCGTTATTGCTACAGAAAATTAGAGGCGGCTCTTCCGGGGCTGTCGCTGCACAGAGGGCACAGAGGATGGACAAATGGACACTGCAGGGTTTGGGGAGAGGAGCTCTGGCTCCAGAGAGGGGATGCACGCAGGCTGGAGCCATTTGGCACATGAACAAGGGCAGCCCAATTTGGGAAGGCTGGGCCTTTAGCCTGGTGGAGGGAGGGCAAGGGGGTGTCATGTAGGGTCCCTTCCCCAGGGCTCTGGGCTCAAACCTCCTGCTGAGCAGCACCCCCCCTGACCCCCAGGAACTAGTGCTTTGGGCAGGCTGCTGAGTCACGCCTCTGCTGGCTAGGCCTGGCAGCCAGGGCTGGAATGAGGTTCGGAAACCCCAGAGCAGCTGAGTGAGGTGCAGGCAGGCCTGGAAGACAGATTGGACCTGAGGCTGGGGGCAAGGGAGTGGCAACCACAGATAAGACAATTTTTACAAAAATAATTACACAGACAAACAGGGCTGGGTGGCACAGTCTGACAGGTAACACTGCACAGCCCCTATCTCCCCCCCCCCCCCCCAGGTAGGAAGATCCAAATATTCCTGGGCAGAGGCTGGGGTCTGCTCAGGGCAGGAACACTGGTAAGGAGGCTGAAGGTCCGAGGACAGGGAAAGGTAGGGGCCCACCCAGAACCTTAGCTCAGGGCAGAGTATGGCAGGCCTCTGGGGACCTGGCCACAGACCCCTTCAAAGTGCTTTAGCCCCGACCTGGCAACCCTGCCTTCTCCCTCCCCTGCTCCCCCAGCTTCCATCTTGGCATCCAAAGGACCTGTAAACACTGGGGATGTGAGCACAAATGACCGCACTAGCAGTGGTGGCCAAGGTGACGGCAGCCGCCCTGGTCAGGGCATGGTGGGGGCAGGCAGCGACACCTGTCCACTGCCTCCCCAGTCTCCATGGTGAGAGCACAGGGTGGGGCTGGGGCAGTCCCCGGCAGCTGTGCTCATATCCGGGAGTCCTGCAGGCGGCTGGAGCCATTACTGCCCACCATGGGGATCTGGGCCTTGTCCGGATGCAGTGGCTGGACCTCAAGCCCATCTTCAGGAGAGGGCAGTATGGTGGGGGCATAGCGCCCAGTCCGGTGCTCCAGGAGGGCGGGGCCCCAGTCTCTGCTTGGCTTTGTGGCATTTTTCAAACGCTACAGGAGAGGTGAGGGTGGGGCAAGGCATGTCAGAAGGGAGCCCTTAAACCCCACCCAGCCACCCCTTCCCATTTCATCTGGCTGTCCCCTCCCCCCACACCTCACCTGGAGGAGGGTGTCCCCATCTGTGCGGCAGAGCTGGAACAGGGCGTAGATTGGGATGCAAATGACGGAGGACAGAGCCATGAGGAAGCCGACAGCCACTGCCCAGCCTGGATACTGGTAGTGGTTATAGGTGATTGGCTGGTACTGGATCACCGTGAAGATGAGAATGAACTGCAGAGAGTGGGGGATGGGAGTGGGCATGAGACCCACCCAGCCCCACCCAGGCCTCCTATCAGCACCCCTCTCTTCTTCTCCAGTTTCACAAGGTACAAAGAGGCATTTGGGGGAGGGCAGGGCCAATGTCAACGTTTGGGTGGCGGAAGAAGCAGATGGAACCAGGGGTCCAGGACATGATGGGTAAGTGCACACCATGGAAGGGGACAGGGCTGGCTTCGCTATAATTCTAAACCAGCCAGGGAATAATCAAGCTGCTGTCACCTTTGGAAGTCAGTTCTGCTCAAAGACTTGAAATAGCTGCCTGTTACCTACTGAAGTAAGGCCAAGTTCCTGGCCTTTGGGGCTTTTCCGTCCTCACACTGAGACCTCAGCTATCTTTCTGGACACATTGCCCTTGTCTTAATGTCTCAGCTACGCCCAGCATTCTCCCCCCTTTTCATCTACTCTGGAGAACCCTCTGCTGGCAAGCCCTGTCTGTGCAAATGTACCTCCTTCACCAAGCCTCTCCAGCCGGGCCAGCTGGCGCAGTGGGGTGTCGTCCAGTATGCCGAAAGGTTTCGGGTTTGATCCCCAGTCGGGGTGCATGCAGGAAGCAACGGATCACTGTTTCTCCCTCACACTGATCTCTGTCACATCGATATCTCTCTCCCCTGCCCCCTTCCTCTCTCTAAAATCGGTAAAAAAGCATATCCTTGGGTGAGGATTTAAATAAAGGAAGAAATAAAAAGCCTCTCCAGATTTCCTGTCTCCTCCTCCTGAAACGCACTTTCCATCTGCTAAGCATTTGTTTAATGGCCCCATAGACTGGGAGCTCCAGGGATTGCATCAGCTCTGTTTCCAGTGCCCAGCACAGTGCCTGGCACAAGCTTATGTGCTGATTTGAACGTGTGCAGAGAGGTGGGAGCAGTGGGGGCGGGGGGGGAGTCCTGCCTGTCTATGGCTGGGGACAGCCTGGGGAGGCTCCAAAGGCTAGAAATGGTGAGTGTGGGCTGGGGATGCTCTCAAGAGCTGTTGCAGAAAGAGGTGAGATGGGAAACAGAGCCGGGCTGCCTCAGCGACAACAAAACTAGAGGAAGCAACAATACGCATGGTGTCAGGTGGGTACCAGGCTGGTCCGGGTGATCGTTTCGTAAGGTATGTAAATATCTAATTGCTATGTTGTACACATGAAACTAATATAATATTGTATGTCAACTATAATTTAAAAATAAAACTAAAGAGCCCTGGCCGGTTCGGCTCAGCGGTTAGAGCGTTGGCCTGCGGTCCCGAGAGACCGGGGTTTGGTTCCTGCTAAGGGCACGTACCTCGGTTGCAGTTTGTCCCCGGACCTGGTTGGGTCGTGCGGGTGGCGGCCACTTGATGTGTCCCTTTCACCTCTCTCTCTCTCTCTCTCTCTCTCTCTCTCCCCCTCTCTCCCTCTCATTCCATCTGAACAAAATATGGAAAAATGTCCTCAGGTGAGGATAAAAAAAATAAAACTAAAGAAGGCAGAAAGATGATGGGCAGGTGGCTCACAGGCCACCCAGAGGGCCTGGGTCTGTGTGCTGCTCCCAGTGGGGTTCGGCATTCGCCCCGGAGCCCTCAGGTGTGTCCTCAGCTCAGACTCCTCCAGCCTTCCCAAGGACCAAGTTCTGGAGGTCAAGACCCACATGCATTGTGGAGCTCCTCTGGGACACTGCACATAGTAGGAGCTTCTAAGAAGTTTCCCGAATGAACCTAGATCCTGACCTAGGTGTGGACAAATCCCTTATCTGAGCTGGCAAAAGGACAGAGTTTGTCAAAGAGCTTTTCAGAAATGTGAAAGCGTGTGCGCAGAGCCTGGACGCCCCCCTAAGGCTGGCACCGGCCTGCCTTCCTGCGCACAGACGGGGCACGGCCGCGTCGCCTTACTCTCCCAGACACTGGACCCAGGGCCACGCTGCTGCTGTGGATGCTCCTTTGCTCACCTCCTTCCTGCCCTGCCTGGGCTGGTGTCCCAGGTCTCACCCCAGGATGACAGCCTCAGGCAGGGCCGGGCCCCAGCACCCAGAGGGCACAGCACTCGGGGCACAGCCTGCCCTCCTGGCCTCTTGCCACTTACAGGGACTTCCGCGCCTCCTGTTTCAAAGCTAGGCCAGTGGCCAGAGCTCGTGCCTGTGCCAGGCTCGGGGAAAATCCCACACCCAGTGTGGTGGAGGCCTCAGCCCTCAGGGGCCTTTTGTTCAGAAACATGAGCCAAAGTGAAAACCTGATGCTGAGCTCCCGGTGGCACAGAGGAGTCGGGTGTGATGGGGCATGACTGTGGACATTACCCTCGCCATGGGCTGACTCCTCTGTCACTCAGAGATGGCCCTGCCTCTCCTCTGTGGAGTGGAGTGACTGGCACTGTCAAACCCTGTGCCCCTGCTTCCTACCCTGAACATAAAGGAGCACAGGCTAAAGGAAGTAATGACTCCTTCCTGTGGAGGTTTCTCAGGAGGCACCGGCCCATGCGCAGGCTCCAGGCTAGACCACCTGCTTTGGACAGTGGCACTGTCTCCTTTCAGCCGAGTAACCTTCGTTTCCTCATCTGTAAAGCGGGCATAAGAATGATACCTTGGAGAGTTGTGGTACCTGAGTTAATATATAAACCACGTACAGAAAGTGCCTGGTTCCGGCCACAGTGGGAGTCTGCACCACATTACAGCTCCCAGGTGGATTCCCCAGGTGCTGAATATTGGTGGCAACCAAGCCCAGCCCCTCCCAAGTCAGCCCACTTCAGTGCCTAAAAGGTTTATAGGTCGCCCTTGACCCTGAGCTGACACCGACGCGTACAGCCTGTTCCCGAACACTCATGCGGTCACGGCACAGACCGAGCACCCAGAGCATCCGGCTACAAAGGACGGGAGACGATGCTCAGAGAGGCTCACAGAGGCTGCCACCAATACCAACAATGGTTCCTGAGGCCCCTCTGGGGGTCCCAGGGACGGAGGGCTGACTCTCAGCAGCAATCTGCTTTCCCTTCCAGGCTGGGCACTGTCTTCAGTCAAATTCTGTGCTCCCTTCCTAACCCAAGGCCAGAGTCTCCACACGCCTGACTCTGTGCAACCTCCCCTGGCCAGCGCTGTGGCACTCCTTGGGAGCTCGGGCCAGACGGGTGGTTCCTGTTCTCCCTCTGCTGGTTCCTAAAAGAAGGACACTTGCCAAGAGGCAGCAGGGTAAGGGAGAGCCAGCCCAGGAACTTACGAAGATGATAGCTGGAGAGACAAAGCGCCAGCAGATCTGGAAGAAGAAGGGCGGTGGGAATCCCAGCATCATCTGGATGTCCTGAAAGTATTTCTGGTGCCCTGGAGAGAGGGGCATTAGTGGCTGGGCAGGACAGTGTGGGCAGCCCAGGGCTGGGGCTCGGGAGGCCATGGAAGGTTGGGCACTTACCGTAGATGTACATGATGGACACACACATGATGCAGGAGATGACAACCAAGGAGAAGCTGGCCGCATAGTTGTCCATTAGCAGTAG